AAAACACGACGATCTCAGGAACTTGCCCCAAAAATGTAACCAACTCCGCTCTCTCTGTCTCTCTCTCTGTCTGCTCTCTGTCTCTCTCTCTGTCTGTCTGTGTCATGTATTGTATGTCACAATTGCAGGATGCTGGGCACACGCGCGCCCCGAATAAGTGACCAAGTTCTGTGGGTGTGTACCCCACGCCAGTGTAGTAGCCACGGTCGTCCGCACGCCACGAAGTGAAGTGTCCCAACGTCATAGGGCGGGAAGCTGGGTTTGGGTGGTCGCGAAGAGTCGTTTGGATATTTGGTAGAGCTTGAACTGCCCCCCCACGAAGTGGGGGTATTGTCTCGCGTCGCATGAAAACCCTGGCACTGGTGAGAACACTGAGCGTTCGGGTAAAATGATTTTGTTGTTGTTGTTGTTGTTGTTGTTGCTGTTGTTGAACATTATTAATTCTAAAGAATAATTATTGTTGGGACCCCTGGTGCACGGCCCCCCCTGCGCCGCCTAGGCCGCAGCTACATTTTCATCATTTTCGTGAGGAAGCCTCAGGTAAAACGATGTGGGTCCAGATCCGGTTGTTTTGTTGTAATCCGTTTTCCCTTGCAAAAAACACTATAAAATGACATTTCTTGTTCTAATATAATCAAATTTCAAGAATCCCTTGCAAAAAATAAGGTAAAGTGGACATTCGCGCGCGCAAGACGAAATCCTTCCAAAAGCTTAGTGTTCGGAACGATTTTAACATAAAAACATCAAAAAACCAATGGTTTTTCAACAAAAAAATGTCAAAATCTCATCCCGCGCGCTCTTGCGGATTCGTAGGAAACCCAACACTTTTTAAACATTTCTGTCAAACGGGCTTTTGCGAGCAACTTTTTCGAACTTCTGCGACAACGGTTGCGCACCTGCCAGGGCCATCATCCCTGTCAAATAATACCATGCGGGACACATTCGTTTTTTCTTCGCGCGCGCACGCCGTCGTCGTCGGCCGCGGGGCCCTGAATAGTAGCCACGGTCGTCCGCATGCCACGAAGTGAAGTGTCCGAACGTCATAGGGCGGGAAGCTGGGTGTGGGTGGTGGCGAAGAGTCGTTTGGAAATTTGGTAGAGCTTGAACCGGCCCCCCCACAAAGTGGGGGTATTGCCCGCCTCCTATGAAAACCCTGGCACTGGTGAGAACGGAGTGTCCCCAGTGCTAGTAATTGTTGTTGTTGTTGTTGTTGTTGTTGTTGTTGTTGTTGTTGTTGTTGTTGTTGTTGAACATTATTAATTCTAAAGAATAATTATTGTTGGGGCCCCTGGTGCGCGCCCCCCCTGCGCCGCCTAGGCCGCAGCTACATTTTCATCATTTTCGTGAGGAAGCCTCAGGTAAAAGATGTGTCAAGATCCGGTTGTTTTGTTGTAATCCGCTTTCCCTTGCAAAAAACACTATAAAATGACATTTCTTGTTCTAATATAATCAAATTTCAAGAATCCCTTGCAAAAAATAAGGTAAAGTGGACATTCGCGCGCGCAAGACGAAATCCTTCCAAAACCTTAGTGTTCGCAGCGATTTTAACATAAAAACATCAAAAACCAATGGTTTTTCAACAAAAAATTGTCAAAATCTCATCCCGCGCGCTCTTGCGGATTCGTAGGAAACCCAACACTTTTTAAACATTTCTGTCAAACGGGCTTTTGCGAGCAACTTTTTCGAACTTCTGCGACAACGGTTGCGCACCTGCCAGGGCCATCATCCCTGTCAAATAATACCATGCGGGACACATTCGTTTTTTCTTCGCGCGCGCACGCCGTCGTCGTCGGCCGCGGGGCCCTGAATAGTAGCCACGGTCGTCCGCATGCCACGAAGTGAAGTGTCCGAACGTCATAGGGCGGGAAGCTGGGTGTGGGTGGTGGCGAAGAGTCGTTTGGAAATTTGGTAGAGCTTGAACCGGCCCCCCCACAAAGTGGGGGTATTGCCCGCCTCCTATGAAAACCCTGGCACTGGTGAGAACGGAGTGTCCCCACGTGCTAGTAATTGTTGTTGTTGTTGTTGTTGTTGTTGTTGTTGTTGTTGTTGTTGTTGTTGTTGTTGTTGTTGTTGTTGTTGTCCTTGTTGTTGTTCGTGCTGCTGTTGTTGTGTGTTCTTGTTGAATGTTAGTTTCTAGACAATTCTTATTCTTGGACCCCCCAGGCGCTTTGGCGCTCTCGCTTCGGCACCGGCTATATTTTTCTTTGAAAATGAGGCTCACGCTCGGGCGGTTTGGGGGGCGCCAAAACGGCCCCCCCAACAACAACAACGCTCCCGCTCGAGACTTCCTTTTTTTTTCCACTCTGGGCCGGTGCTTTTGCTCGCCGCCGAAAGCCGCCGTCCCAACAAAACCAGCGCTACCGCTCGAGACTTCGTCCCGTTTTACCTTGGACAGGCGCGCTGCTCTTTCTCTCATCGGCGCCGCCCCCAGCAACAACAACGCTCCCGCTCGAGACATCCTCCCTTTTTTTTACTAAGGCGGTGCTCTTCCTCGCCGCCGAAAACCGCCTTCCCGACAAAACCAGCGTTCCCGTCCGAGACTTCCTCTTGTTTTACGCTGGACTGGCGCCCCAGTGTCTTTTGAATTGGCGCCGCTCCCACCAAAAACAACGCTCCCGCTCGAGGCTTCCTTTTTTCCCAACCATCCTGTGGTGTTGGGTCCTCGTTTTGAAGAAACGGTGCCCGCGTCTCCTCCTCCTCCCGTGCCCCCCCCCAGTGGGGGTACCACATGCGTCCGCCACACCCAGAACAGCGCTTCGTGGCCCCATAGGGAGCTCCACGTAAGGCCCCAGTGGGGGGTATCACATGCGTCTGCCACACCCAGTACAGCGTTTCGTGGCCCCATAGGGAGCTCCGCGTAAGGCCCCAGTGGGGGGTACCACATGCGGCGTCGCGGCTGTGATGCGCCCCTCCTCTTCCGCGACGCGTGCTTCTCCGCCCTGAGGATCCTCAAGGGGGGGGGCCTGGCAAAGAGGAGGAGGAGGAGGAGGAGGAGGAGGAGGAGGAGGAGGAGGAGGAAAAGAGGAGGAGGAAAAAAAGGAGGAAGAAAAGAGGAGGAGGAGGAAAAAAGGAGGAAGAATGAGGAGCAGGAGGAGGAAAAGGAGGAGGAAAAAAAGGAGGAAAAAAAGGAGGAGGAGGATCGTGCCTTGGAGGGTGCCGGCCTGGGCCTGCGCCCCCTTCCGTGCGGGGTCGGGCAGCGCGGCTGACCGGCGCATGGGGGCATTGGCTGGTGGGTGCCCCCCCCCTCGGAGGCCCGCGTGGCCGTCGGGGCCAGGAGGCGTAGCGCCGAGGTGATTGGGGCACTCCGTGCGATTTGCGTGCTTGTTTGCCTGCTGTGTCTCTCTTGTTTTTATCCGTCGCGCGCAGAGGGGGGTGGGGGGAGGGGGGAGAGCTTCTTAGAGACACGCCTGCTTCCTAGAAGGCGCGGTCCTTATCTATAGATGTAAGGCCGGCGCATTCTAAGAAGCAGCCTCCTTCTAAGAAGCCCTCCCCCTCCCTACACCCCCTTGTGCGCGCCGCCAATCTTATTCTTCATGGTGTCACTATTGTTGTGTTTTATCTGGAAGGGCTTCGCCCCCTGCCGCCGGCCCCCTCTTCTCGGATAGTGGGCAACGCAGGAGCGAAGTCACGAGGCCTTAGCGCCGCCGTGAAGCAGCGTTGGGACTTCACGCGAAGACGATGAGTAATCGGCAAGACAAATTGAGGTAATGATGATATTGTTGAATTCGGTGTTGCATTTCGAGCTTGCTCGCGTCTGTGCAAAAAGCTTTTCTACGAAGTATTGAAATTTTGCAAATCCCATATGTTTTTTTGACCCAGACCCCGCCGATCTGCGTGAGGGGGGCCACCGAATTTCAAGACATGTGGCGAATCCCATGTGTCTTTCGACCCTGACCCCGCCGATCTGCATCAGGAATGCCACCAGATTTCAGACATGTGGCAACGACCATGAGTTTTTTGACCCTGACCCCGCCGATCTGCGTGAGGGAGGCCACCGAATTTCAAGACATGTGGCAAATCCCATTAGTTTTTCGACCCTGACCCCAGCCATCTGCGTGAGGGGTGCCGCCGAATTTAAGAAATGTGGCAGATCCCATTGTTTTTTCGACCCTGGCCCCGCCGATCTGCATCAGGAGTGCCGCCAGACTTGAGGCATGTGGCAAAGACCTTGTGTTTTTTGACTCTGACCCCGCCGATCTGCGTGAGGGAGGCCACCGAATTTCAAGGCATGTGGCAAATCCCATTAGTTTTTCGACCCTGACCCCGGCGATCTGCGTGAGGGGTGTCGCCGAATTTAAGAAATTGGGCAGATCCCGTTGGTTTTTCGACCCTGAGCCCGGCGATTGCGTGCGGCGTGCCACCGAATCTTAGAAATGTGGCAAATCCCATGGGTTTTTGGATTCTGAATTTCAGAAATGTGGCAAATGACCCCGCCGATCTGCGTGAGGGGTGCCACAGGATTTTAGAAGTGTGGCGAACTCATTTGTTTTTGGACCCTGACTTTGCTGGTTTGCGTGAACGGTGTTAATTTCGACCCCCGCAGGAATTCTGAGACCCCTCCTGGGAGGTGCTCACCAGGGCGGCTTTCGGCTCCCCCCCCCCCGCGCGGTCTGCAACAAGGACCAGTAAGCAATTAGCAACAAGAAGCAATTAGCAACAAGAAGCAGAACTGTAACAGTAGAAATTAGCAACAAGAAGCAATTAGCAACAAGGACCAGTAGGCAATTAGTAACAAGAAGCAGAACTGTAACACTGGAAACCGGAAACTGGAACCGGCGCAGGGAACAGCAAACCCTGAGCCTACAGCCTGGTGGCCCCGCAAGCGGGCCGGCGGGTTTTTATTCTTCTTCGTCGT